CTTCCCCACTTTCCTCCACTAGTATATTAGCCCACTGTAAAAGCCCTATCCTCATCAGTCAGTTTACAATGAGTGTACGAAGACGCATCTGGAGAAATCTGAAACGCAAGGATGCCAACTAACACACTCCATACCGACTGAGTGGGATTGCTGAGCATGAGCCCCACATACTTTGTTTTTTTCTTTTTTCTTTTTGGTACTGGGGATCGAACTCCGGTCCTTGCACTTGCGAGGCAGGCGGCGGAACCACTGAGCTAAATCCCCGCCCCCCTGCCCCACATACTTTTCATTCTAAAAAGCCACCTTGCAGAGTCCAGTAAGCATCCTGGGCTGAGATTCTGCAGACCCTTTCCCACTCAGACACCTACTTTAACTTCTGGAAATAAATTCCTAGCGCTTTATGAGGCACAGTCCGAGCAGTACTACTCAGAGAATCCAAACCTCACCTTCCCCTACACACAATGCTTCGCGGCTCAGAGGGGCAAGTTGGCTAGGTTCACTTTGCATGACCATTGCTCTGTAATGCTTGCATTTTTATAATAAGTATGACTACTGTCGGAAAAATACAATAAATAAGAGGACATGTATACACTGTGACATAATCTTATAATTCTAATAACAAGTGAGCCCACAGAAGAAATAAAATTGGTCTAAAAACCCATTTCTCAAGTCCCAGGGCTGACATCTGGCAGGGGCCTCCAGAATCTCATATCCTGATATTTGGGGGGTTTTTTTCTTGGTTTTGTGAGTCAGGGTCTCCCAATGTAGTCCAGACCAGCTTTGAACTTTTGACCTTCCTGCCTCAGCCTCCCAAGTGCTGGGATTACAGGTGTGTGCTACTGTGCCCATGTGGAATGCCATATCCTGACATTTGATTCATAAAGAAAACTGTGCTCCAGTCTCTCATGGGGACTTGGGATCTTTTCTTTCCTCAGGGCCACAATCCTGTACCATCCCCATCAGCTGCAGCTGAGCCATTTGCTCTGATTTTAATGGTCTGCACAGAGTGGTGGCGGATTACCTCACCGGATCTATTGGACTCAAGTCCAGAGCTGAACCCTTGTCTACTATGACTTCACCTCTCAGCCCCTCAGCTTCCTCATCCAGAAAATGGGCCTGAAAGCAACACCTGACTTACCTGATGCTGATAGGATGAACCAACACGGACCACTTAGTATCTGGGGCAGTGGTAATAAATGCCAGAAATCACAATGCTTTCATGAAGTTAGCAGTCCAGAAAAATATTATGATTATTTACAAATGAGAAATTTCAGGCTCAGAGTTTGGCTTTCTGGCAGTAAAACAAAGATGGAGAGCAGGAATGTCCACTTTCATGTGCACACTGTGCGTTCTCATTAGATGTTAAACTGCAGGCCTCTGATATGTGTGGGGGTTAACTTGGCGTGGCCCAGCAGGTGTCCACCTGGCCTGCACCTCATGCCACCAAGGGCAGCCTGAGCTGGTGAGGGGAGGGGATCTTCATGAAGACCCTCCCTGGGAGGGGTTCCCCTCTTTCTTTCACCAGTGAGAAAGCTGAGGTCCAGAGATGGGAAGGGGCCTGGCTCTGTGGGTGTCAGAGCCAGGAGGAAATTATTAGGAAAGGATGCCAGAGCCTAAAAGGGCTCACGTCTGCCTTCTGTCCTTTGTGCCTCAGGTTCCCACCCTGTAACCAGGAACCATGTTCTGAGCTCACAGGGGCTCTGAGGACTCTGCTGAATGCACACAAACTATCTCCAGTAGGAAACAGAAGACACTGGTCACCCCTGGCGATGGGGAGACTAAATTTTTTTTTTTGTACCGGGGATCGAACTTGGGTCCTTGCACTTGAGCAGCAGGTGGTGAAACCACTGAGATAAATCCCTGGCCCAGGGAGACTAATTTTTCACCCTTTTGAATTCATGTACATGAATTTGCACATTCAAAAAAGTTTTTTGGTACTGGGGATCAAACTCGGGACCTTGCACTTGCGAGGCAGGAGACAGAGAGTTTTGTGACAAGTGAGATTTGGGGATTTTTTTAAAGAACAGTATCTGGTACTCAATTGTTTTGCTTTTTTTTTTCTTCCCCTGCAATAGTAACAATTGAACCAAGGGCCTTCAAACTGAGTTTCGTCCCCAACCCTTTTTATTTTGATTTTGAGACAGAGTCTTGTGAAATTGCCCACTCTGGTCTCGAATTTGTAATCCTCCTGCCTCAGCCTCCTTAGTAGCTGGGATTACAGGCATATACTACTATAGATTTTGATTATTTTTATAAAGTAATGATAGTTAGCATGCATGAAGCCTGGATTTAATCCCCGAGCTGCTCCTCCAAAAGAAGTTATGATACAGGACCCTCCTTCCGATTTCACCTCAGTGTCAGATCAAAGCAAGGCTTCAACCCCAAGAGGCAGGTGATGGAAGGGTGGGCTTTAGATTCAGACATGGGTTTAAGATTTGTATCCTCCTCTTCCTAGCTGTGTGGCCTTGGGCAAGTTGCTGTGCCTCTGTGTCCTTGGTTCTACAAGGAGGCTGTGGGCTGAGGGTGTCACTCAGAGCAGCAGTGCTTGCCTGGTACATGCAAGCCCCTGGGTTCCATCCTGAGCACTGCATAGACAGATACATAGATAGATGATAGATAGATAGACAGACAGACAGACAGACAGATGGGGGCCAGTGGTCCTAAGCCCTTTGGTTGCTGCCAGGATTTAATGAGATCAGAGCTGAATCCGAGTGAGCAGGGGCAGGCACCACTGTACACATAGGGCTCACTGCATCTGCACAAGAGGCAGGGGCCCCTGAGATATAGGTGAGGATAAGCAGTGCTGGGAGGGGAAGTCTGGCTGTGAACCCAGGCAATCTGACTGTAGCATTAGTGTCCACAACTACTGCACCCCCCTCCTGCCTCTCCTGTGCATGTGGCCTACTTAGGACATTCATTACCAGGCATGTGAAAATGCCCTGGGATCTCTCCAGACCATTAAACACTTTGGAACAGGACCATTGATCCTCATAAACACCTTCTGAGGACAGCATTCAGTCCCCATGGGTCTGAGACTCTTGCCTCAATTCTCTCACACCCACAAATTCCACAATCCACCTGCACAAACCCAGGCCAACAAACATTCACTCCTTATTCTGAAGCCCAGTTCCTCCGAGCTGGTTCTGGTGGCTTCCGACACCTCCCTTTGGACAGCCCCAGGCAACTTCAGGAAGCCACACCAAGGGGTGCTGGAGCTCTGTAGCAATGCAGTTACAGCTGAGGGACAGCCTCCCCCAAATCCCCAGCTCTGGCAACTTCAGACACCTCACCCGTCACCACGGCAGCCAAACAGACTTCAGACACCCCAGTGCCACAGCCACAGACAAGCTGTTCCTTCTCACAGGCAGTGCTCGAGTGTGGGGGCAGCCTACAGGGCACCTCATCAGCCTCCACCCCAACCCCAGCCATTGGTGATGGCCAGAGTGGCACTGATGAAGGTCGGGCAGGGATTATTGCCACTCACTGGCTGGACAGACGGGGCCTCAGTTTATGAGCACACACCCGTGGACACACACACACACACACACACACACACATTCACACAATTCAGAACACCCAGCTCCCCTACTAGAATACATTTGGGTGAGGGGGCATGGTTCCATGCCACCATGGATAACGCACCAATCATAAGCTGCTTATGAATAATTAAGCTTATTGTTAGTGTCGATGTCTAAAGCCTTGGGCTGAAATTCCAAATAGATTTCTAAGGAGAAGGAGGCCCTTGGGAAAAGCAGCTCGGGGCTTCATTTCCCATTCTGCAGTATTCACTGAAAGGAATGGAGCAACCAGCATACCCTCCTGGGTCCCTTCTCCAGCCACCCCAGCCCAGCCCAGCCCACTCTTAGGGGGAGGGAGTTGAGCAGAAGCAGTTTCAAGAAGTCAACACTCAGCTGGGCATGGTGGTGCACTCCTGTAATCCCTGCACTCTGGGAGGCTGAGGCAGGAAGATATCAAGTTTGACCCCAGTTAGGCACTTTAGTGATTTAGTGAGACCCTGTTTCAAAATGAAAAATAAAAAAGGGCCTGAATTCAATCCCCAACATACAAAAAAGAAGGAGCAGGAGGAGGAGGAAGAGGAGAGAAGGGAAGAAGTAGTCAGCACTCCCCAGCCCCAGCAGTGAACCACCTGTGGACCACCTCTAAGGACCAGCTGTATTTCAGGCCAAAATCCAGCTGAAGTCACTCCAGATCTGGACATCCTTCCTCACCACACACTTATGGCTGCCAGGGTGGCCCTACCCCACCAGACCTCACACTGTCCCAGAGAAGTGACTCACTAGGCCCCCTCCTGGCCAGCTCAGGCCTTCGGGACTTGGGAAGGCCCTGCTGCTGCTGTGCCTGCCACAGCAGACAACGTGGCAGTCCAGACAGTGGCTGGCGTGCCACACACCTACCCAGAAGAGAAGGGACTCAATGAGCCACATGTGTGGGCACATGTCCCAGGCCACATCCCAGCCAGAGCTCAAGGCAGGGTCAGCAGGGGCCCGGTTAGGGGCAGGGCTGCAGCTGGATGGGTGATGAGAAGCAGGAAGAAGGGGACAACATCTTCCCCATGGGGAGGAGAGTAGATGGAAGGGAAACAGGCTGGGCTGGAAGTCACCTTCCTCTTTGCACAGTCACCAAAGCACTTCTGGCAATGGAACAGACATCTGCCACAACAGATAACCTGCTCAAGACCCAGGACCCACCCGAACTCTACCTGTCAACGGCAAGCGCCCTCAGGGTCTGTATGACTCACTCCTCAGGCAGACTTCTCGGCCACAGCAGCCAGGCCACATCTGCTAAGCCACTGTCTGTCCACCCTCTGTCCCCACCTTACATGGTCAGTGTTGAGCACAGGCCCATCACTGTAAATTCATGGTTCTTCTTTAGGCCATGATCATGGGCAAGCACGTGCCTGTGGCAGGAAGTGGGAGGCAGGATCATGGGTACCCAGGACCCTGGAGAGGTAGGCGTCCCAGAAGGGCTCAGGCTCTTACCTGTATCCTATCTTCTGGCAGCTCCGTTTTCATGGCCAGCATCTCCCGTGCATAGACATCTGGGTAGTGGGCCTCATTGAATGCTTTCTCCAGCTCCTCTAGCTGGTAGGAAGTAAAGATTGTCCTGAGGGAGCAAGATTGGACACTCAGGACCCCAAACACTGAAAAAGCCTGTCTCAGAGAGGGCTGAATGGCCCTCTCCCACACCTCTGGACAGATCCCACACTCAGGCTGGCTCAGCACAATTAACACAATCTCTCTCTCTCTCTCTCTCTCTCTCTCTCTCTCTCTCTCTCTCTCTCTCTC